ATATTTCCTCCTGTTTGAGAGCCTGAAGAAGGTTCGCTCGCTGCTTGTGTAGCAACTCACGGTTGACAGGCGAAGGGTCTTCATCAAAAGCATTCTCAACCTCCGTTGTTGCACGTTCCAAATCCCTGATTCAGTCAAAAACATTCCCAAAAGTGTCACGGTTCCAAGAACGAAGGCCCTGCTTTAGTTGCTTTAGCTTGAAAGCGAGAGCCCGCATTCCCCCTCCTTCTGCAGGTTGATTCCAAATTCTGCTGACAATAGCCCTGAAGCCTGGGTGGGTGATCCACATGTTTTGGAAACGGAACTGTTTTAGGCATGACATCGACGTATTGGCTCCATTTAGCAGAATTGGGGAATGATCCGAAGATGTCCTGGCCAGAACATTTATTCTCACCTCCGTGAAATAATCCCTCAAAGTAGTGTTCATCAAGAAACGGTCTAACCTCTTCCAAACTGCCCCCGTGGTTCGGATTCCATGCCAAGTATATAGGCTGCCTAAAGTGGCGAGATCAAGAAGTGTGTTTTCTGCTATAAAGTCCGAGAAGTCGGACATGCATCCCACAGCTGGTATAGCATTACCCCTGTATTCTGCTATAAAGTCCGAGAAGAATTACTCTTTCGACACTTTGATCTCCTGATGGAAGAGCCAACCATGGAGAATCTGGTACTACAACCACTGACGCGAAGAGATTGACGGTGGAATCACCGAGCCGCTTGAATTTGTTGTTTGCAAGAAGAAAAGCGTAGGAGCTGTAAGTGTCGATACAAAGAAACACAATCGCACAAGGATTAATTCCAAACTCCAAACTCTAGTTAAGGATTAATTAGATAATTAATCCTAGTTTTATTGATAATTTATTCCCAAAATCCTGAAAATTCAATAGTCGGAGGACTAGATTTTGACTAATCAATCCAAGTCAAAGTGTTGTACCTTATGCCTTATGAGTTGTTCCCTTGTCTCCCTATTCTTCCAACTTTAGTAAGGGCAAATGAGTTTTTCTACCTAAAGTTTGTTCTCTAAGCTAACTTAGCATCATCCTTTCATTTCATCCACCAACACTCTAAACACAAAATATCTACCTTCTCTCTAAGAATTTGGTAGCTTCTTCTCCAAGCCAAATTTTGGGCATCTTAGATTCTACAAGTTGGCTTCCAAGATTCATACTTTCCTAACCTTGAGCATAGGGGAGGGTAAGATCCTTGATCTCTTGGTGTTTTTAATATCTTTTTAGATGTCTCTTTCTAAAAATAGAATCTTTGTTGTCTTTTGGGTTGTTTGTGAAGTTGGTGTTGAAGAAGAGCTTTAGGAGAAGCTTTTAAGGGTGAGAAAAGTGAAGTGTTAGGCTACAAAGGTAACCCTTGCTTTACAAAACCTATTTTCTTACTTATATGATGATTTCTTGGCTTCTAGTTGTGATTCTTGTGTTGAAATGTGAGATTTGATGCATTGTCTTGTGGTAATACGTTGAAGTCCCCTCCTACGAGAACTGGCCCAGAATTCGTGAGGCAGGCCGTGAGCTGCGACCACAAAAGAGCCCTGTCTCTGTTCTCGTATGTTTTGCGTTTATATGATCTCACAAAACTTACTGCTTTAACGTCCAGTTCACATACGTAGTGTACAGACAGGGGCTCTTTTGTGGTGACCACGGTGGTTGATCATTGCACTTTGTAGTGTTGATCAGTACACTTTACCACCGTTGAGATCAATCTACACTTTTTATGTGGAAGGTGGTTTGCATATGGTAAGAGCAAGATTCTTTCATATTATTTATCTATAAACTAATTAAATTTTAAAATTATTTCTCAAATATAATAGGATTTGTTCATTTTTTAATTAGATGTGGTCAATCATGCTTTTAAAATGTAGCAAAAAATAATAGAATCTCATAAAGTATATATGATTAACAAAACTTGCTCATTATATTCATATTATAAGCTGCAGTTGGCTCTCGACAAGTAAGGATTCAAGCATTATTAAGGAAAAAACAAGTTAATAAGAGAAAGAAAACTCAAACCAACCTTAATTGAGGTTTTAATTTATTCCTGTCATTACATTATTATTATTATTATAAAGAGATCAGATGAGAAGCTCTCTGTTCTGAGCTTAATTGCTCTCCTGTCTGTCTCATTGAAGCTAAGTCACATATGGATGCAACAATGGTTGATCAAAACACAACTTAGGAGGATTGAAGACAAGACTAACCTCGCAGATTTCTCAATGAGTTAGAAAGTTTCCGCGCCACTTTCCAAAACTCAGATAAGGATTTTCGATAAACAGAAACATCGCAATGGAAACATTCGACGCGTCGAGTTTGGGATTCGACGCTTCGAGTTTTCTACTGCATCATCATAGGTTGTAGCCCTTCAAGTCTTCTTTCCAATGGCTTAAGAATCACTTGATCGAATCGGACATTCCTAGAGTGAGATATGATCAAAATACTAAGGTGTTGTCAAATTTAGCAGGATTACAACTATTTGGTCTTTTGCTCCACTTTTCCCTTCTTTTGTTCTTGTGATCGAATCCATTGAAAGTACCACTCTTTGGCTTTCTTTGAAGAATTTTAGTTGTCTCCTTAGCTTCACCTTGACATTGTTTTGGCTCCAAACTTGTCTTAGAACTTCCCTTGCTTTTGCAATTGATCTACACTGGTCTCAAAACACTAACAAACACCGTAAAACTTTCAAAACAAGTATAAAACTATATCTTTATGAGATCAGAAAGCAAGGAAATATGCATTGAAAGTAACAATTTAATAAACTTAAGCCCACAAATAGATTCAAACTAACAAGAGAAACATGTACAATTAAGCTCACATGCATCAAGTAGGTTGAGAAAATATGTATGAAAAGATACTATATTCTAATAGAGTCAATAACTGTTGGATATAATCCATTCAAACAATCGGCCTTAATTATTGGGGAGCCAACAAATGACTTCCGTCATTTGTGTACATGATGTGGCTAAATGACCTTTTGTCATTACCACTTCCCTTGCTTGTAGCTATTGTGTGGTTGGGACAAAAGGTGTCTTCACCTTCCTACACACTATATAAACAAGCAAGGAAATCTTGTCTAAAGGCAAGAAAAAAGCTTCTTCCTTCTTTCTATATAAGAATTAATATATATTATAATATAATATATATAATTCGTGTCTATCGATTAAGGCCTGAGCAATAGTGAGGTTCGCCTACGTGATTGCTAGTGCAAGCTATCCGTAGTAGGTCTGTGTAGCCTGTCGAAAGCGTGTCAGGATTCTAACTGCACCGTTACCGGGCAAATAACGCTTTTAAGGTAGTGTTATTGTAACACGGCACAGATTTCCTTTCAACCATACACCAATAGTGTCCGTGCTTCTTAAAAGGCTTCCAGATCGTGCGTTGACGTTGCTATTTTCCCGAACAGTTAAAAGCGTTAGTCTGCAACAGTCAACCTTCAGCATTATGGCACCTACTGTCATACCAGATCTATCAAAAATCACCGCCCTTGATGGGAAAAATTACAGTAGGTGGGCTAAAAGAATGCTTATTCTTTTCGAACAATTAAAGTTGGTTTACGTGCTATATTCAGTTGCACCTGAACCTACTCCAACAGTGTTCTCTCCGTTTGGTGCTACAAAATGTAATCATGAACCTGATTACACTCCGGGTGAAGAATCGAGAGAAAGCAGTCCTGAAATAGATTACATTCCGGGTCAAGAACCGGGTGTAACTCTGATTCAATTAAGAAATGACAATGCGGCAGCCAGAGGATACCTGCTGTCACAAATGAATGACGATTTGTTCGACGTCTATGTCAAACAAGATTCGGCAAAAGTCATTTGGGAATCACTGTCAGAAAAGTACGGTTCCAATGAAACTGAAAATCAAAGTGTTAGAACTGTCTACAACAAAAGGAGTAGAAAAATCAAGAAGTTCAAAGGAAAGTGTTTTACATGCAAAAGCAAGGACACCGAGCACACCAGTGCTACCATCAGAAGGGCAAAACTAACAAAAGTCAATCTGACATAGCAAGATGAGTATTGAGTCTCTTTAAATAAATAGTTATTTTGAGTAACTATATTTGCTCTAGTTCTAAGGGTTCGCATGAAGTATGGTTATCTTAGTACTGAATTCTAGTTGAGCTGTCTAGATTTTGATTACTTAGTAGTACTTATTTCTTTAGTATTTTGAATACTAATGACATTGATTGAAATAATTCGTGCATAGATATTGCTCAAACTTTTTACTAAAATTATTTGTATAAAATTAAGAGCATAGATCATAGGCTTCAATTGTAATTTAGTGAGAACATGGAAAAGTCATCATTCTTGAACACTCTGTCTAGGAAGATGGTTTTTAAGTAAACTTCGGTTTCAGCACTCGACTTGGGAGTTTTAAGAAGTAGGATGTTGATCATGCAGGCTAGTTAGAGCGCCACTTGATCTTTACCTGAAATGAGGATGACTTTCATATGTTGCTAATACAATCAAAGCCTTGCAATAGAAGTTGTTGAAGTACTGCAATAGTAATATTGATCTGCATCCTATAAATGCTTTATATGAGTTTTAAATTCCTTAAGGGAAGGAAAATTGTGCTAGTGGCAACTCTGAAGTCTCATTGTTGAGAGATATTCCGAATAAATATGAGCTCAAACATATTCCTTTTGTATGAGATTAATTTCTTATAAGAATATGATGTGAAATTTGTGATTATGTTGTTCAACTTGATGTAGCATGTGGACAACATTATTTCTATGGCTTACTAACAATGAGCATTTGTATATATATTATTTAAACTCTTGGTTGAGTCATATTGAAATACCTATAATTCCTAGTTAAAGGGTAATTGTGATCAATTGAAATAACCAAGTTTGTTGAAATATATTCAACTGTTGAGCATGTATCAGGCAGAGTGCGAAGCTTCTATAATGCTCCACAAAGCAAATCGGAAAAACTCAGTCTACAAAGGAGCTAAAGTTGGGAACCAAAGATCAGTATGAGTAAGAGATCAAATACGTTTGACAAAAATATTTGTAAGTGTTGCATTGTGGGGGTAATAAACTCCTTATATTTTCATCAAAAGTTTCTCTGTGGTATTGATCGAGAATAATGATGAAAGAGAATGTTTCATGTTAAACATGAAAATCTCAAGGGATTATTTACGAGTAAACGAAGTACTCGTCAAAGTGCATGTAAGTTTGGTCAAGAGAATCAACTTACTTGAGGGCTAATTATGAGGATTAGTCGTTGACTCATTGGAAGGACTTAAAGTCCAAGTGGTAATGAATTCGTGGTGGATCCCACTTCTGTGGTCAAACGAAACCATGAAAAGAGTTACAAAATAGTACACTAGTTGGTCATTCCGACAGTGTGTGTAGTTGTGAGGTTGAGCTACAGCTCTTAATGAATTCATAACTCTTTGAGAAAGGGTGGTTTTGTTGAGACAAACTTAATGAATTCACCGCATGTGAGGTTGAGCTACAACTCTTAATGAATTCATAACTCTTTGAGAAAGGGTGGTTTTGTTGAGACAAACTTAATGAATTCACCGCATGTGAGGTTGAGCTACAGCTCTTAATGAATTCATAACTCTTTGAGAAAGGGTGGTTTTGTTGAGACAAACCTAATGAATTCACCGCATAATGACATGAGTACAAAATGCTCGTGGTGCCCATAGATACTCTGTAGCTAGTCATGGTGGTCTGCGTAGAGGTAGACTTGACAGAGTTGAAGGTCTATCCTAGAATAGACCTAACAGGGGATATCTCAGGGTCAAGAGTATGACCTCACATATTTTAAAGCGACCAAAGCAAATTAAGTGCGTTAAGTTCAAACTTTGTCTATTCGATGAGTTCAAGATCAAATTCACTCCCGTTTAGAGAAGTACTTAATGTCACTATATGACAGTTCAAGTTTTATACACTGGCATGAAAATTTGTTTTGATCGTTGTCAGGCAATGACAACATCAGCCTAAGTCCCTTTAATGGTGGGGGGATTGTTGGGAGCATTTAAAAGGAAAGGCTTCCTTTTAAATGCTCCCAACAATAACATTCAAAAAAATAAAAAAGTGACGATTAGGAGGTAGGCGCCAACCTAACCAACCATGGCAATTTAGCATCTAGGAGCCACTTAGTCGGCCGGCCGAGTTAACTCGACAAATTCAGCAAACTAGCCAAGTCAATAGAGTTAACTTGGTTGATGATGAGTTATTATTATTTTATTTAAATAATTTATTTTTTTGCAAGACAAGTGTAATATTTATTTATGTGTATATATATAATATAATAATATAATATTTTAGCACATGATTCTAGGATAACTCTTTAATATTATACCACATGACTCTAGGACAACTCTTGGGAAAAGATATCCTAGAGCCATGTGCTCTCATATATATATATATATATATATATATATATATATATATATACCTTGCTAATATATGCACACACAGCGTTTAATTTTTCTTTTTGTATTTTGTCTAGGTGGTAGGTGGGATTTTAGCGTCCGACTAACGGCTAGTTTATTTTGCAACGTTAGCTAAAAGATATGGTCGTGGCCACTATGTCTTGTTGGAGATGAGAGGAGATCATTAATACCAATTGGATTGTTTTTTTTTAAGGCAAAAACATTATTGTTGAGGTAAACCCAAATCAAGAATAAAAGCAGGTGGTTAAGCAATCGTGATGCTGTGGAACTCTGTCCACCTTGCAAGGTGGGCACGATTCTATATTCATAATTATTGAATTTTATGTTCATAATTATAAAGCTATATATTCATAATTTTTGAACTTCATATTCATAATTATTGAATTCCATGTTCATAATTAATGAACTCTATGTTCATAATTACTGAACTATATGTTTATAATTATAAAGCTATATATTCATAATTTTTGAATTTCATATTCACAATTACAGAACTCTATATATGTTCATAATTACTGAACTGTATGTTCATAATTATAAAGCTATATATTCATAATTTTTGAATTTCATATTCACAATTATTGAATCTCTATATTCATAATTATAGAACAATATGTTCATAATTATGTTCACAAATCTATGTTCATAATTATAAAATTATATGTTCATAATTTTTGAACTATATATTTATAATTATAAACAGTTTTGAAACCGTATCCACCTTGCAAGGTTCCACACCATAATTTTCTGTGGTTAAGCATTCCAAACATTCAAACGGTTGTAAGTTGATCTGTTGAGGCGTTTTCTTACTTAGAATAAATCATGCTAAATTGTTTATAATTGACAGGCTCGAATCGAGAAGAACGAAAAAAGTGCGCCAATAAAAGTTGAAACTTCGTAGTTAATTACCTAATCAATAACTTGATCAACTAATTTGGTTAAAGTTACCACTCTATGATAAAACAGATGATACACGGGATCATGTATGAAACATCATAACATATGGCGTGAATCCTTGAATTTTAGCGAGTACTCCTACTGCACTGGGAAACTAAAAACATAATACTAATATTTATACTTTTTAACTTTTATAAAAAAGTTTTAGATTAAATTACATTGGAAGTCCTCTAAAGTTCAAATCTTATCGTTTTCTTTTACAGCTTGTCTGCTACAGGCGTTTTTAAAGCTCTTTAAATTAGTTTTCAACAAAAAATTAAAAAGCTCTTTAAATGTAGAGTAATTGTACATGTACTCAGTACTCCCATGCATTTTGTATTCCCTATGATTTGTTAGATTGTTCAATTTTATAGAGCGTCATAATATTTATCTATTTTTTTTCTTTTTTCAATTAAATTTGAACACAAGTGAGAGTAAAAATTAGAAGTATGTTTTTAGAATAAAGTTTTTTTTTGAAAAAATGTTTTTAGAATAAAGTATTTTTGTTAAACTAAATCTTTAGATAGCAATTAAGCTGCCTTCTTCCATCATCTTCTTCTTCATTGTCGGCTTGTCTCTCTAATTAAATCTTTAGTTAATAGCTCGTAAGACAAGCTGCTAGAAAACCAAGATATAGATAGTATACTCAATTTCAAGCATGGCATCATCATCTTCTTCTTCCCCGTATGCTCGCATGACGTATGATGTTTTCTTGAGCTTTAGGGATGAGACGTGGCCCACGTGGGGATCCTTTTCCGATCATGGATCCAAAAATCTTTTCAAGTGGGGGTATAAAATTAAAACTAACTAGATATTTTTTTTTGAAAATAAAATACTTAGAGACTGGGTCATAAATATGATTGACTAGAGATGAAAAATCAAAATAAATCATGATACAAAATATTTAAAACAAAATATAAAAAATGATTAATTAGATAAAATAGTTTAAATGGAAAACACATTATAAATTAAATTACTCATCTAACTATTAATATTTAAAAAGAAAAAATAAAAATAAAAAAGATAAGAAGTCGCAATGTTACAAATAAAAAATTCAATTTGAATTCTCACTATTAATATTTAAAAAAATGCTATAAAAAAAAAAACCACTTGTCTCACTATTAATATTAAAAAATTAAAAAGAAAAAACACAATATAATGTTAGAAATAAAAAATCAATTCTCATTCAAAAACCAAATTGAATGCAGCAAGGTTCGATCCATGGACAATTACATATAAATTGAATGCAGCAAGGTTATCCATGGACAATTACATATTTCATGCAAGTAGTGAACCATCTAAGCTAAGCTAAGCTAACATTTGGTTGTGACTTGGTATACTTAGTATATACTTATATATGTTGGGTGAGTGGGGACAACTGTTCCACTGTGGCTCCACCACTGCCGATAATCTTTATGCAGATTTGAGGTGAGCTGTAGCTAGTTAATGCCTTTCGAGATGATGAATCGATCCGGATAGGCGAAGATATTTCTGTTGAGCTGTCTAGAGCCATAGAGGAGTCAAGGATATATATCATTGTATTCTCCAAGACTATGCCGGATCCAGACGGTGTCTAGATGAGCTTGTAAAGATAATGGAATGTAAACAAAAGTTGAATCAAATTGTTTTTCCTGTATTTTACCATGTTGATCCTTCAAATGTTCGTAAACAGACAAGCACGTTTGGTGATGCATTGACTCTACACAGACAACAATTTGAGGATCAAAAAGTTAATGAGTGGAAAGATACACTCACTGCTGCTAATTTGTCCGGATGGGATTTACAAACCATTCAAATATAATGGGTAATCCAAACTCTTTTGATTTCCTTTTATTTTTGGATTTTTGTCACAATCTGCACACTTACTCATATAGTAAATTCATATTTATGGTAATTTTTTAAAGAAAATTTAAAAATAATTGAAGGAGAAGAATCTGCATCTTCTAACCGCTGGCAATTTATATCATACACCAAGGCGTACATTGCATTGTGCGTCCTGGTGCAAAACGATGTCGTTTTGCATTTTTTTTTTTTTTTTTTTTGGAAATTAGCTTTTCTGTGTTTGCTGTGAACTTTTTTAAAAAAATCTCATGTTTTGAAAATGTACATAATTGTATAATAAAATGTACACAATTGTATAGCAGAATATACATAATTGTATAACAGAATACACATAAACTTTTAATTGTTAAAAAAAAATCGCGTGTTCGGATGTACATAATTGTATAAAAAAATGTACATAACTGTATAAAATAATGTACATAATTGTATAACAGAATGTACATATATAATTGTATAACATAACGTACGTAATTATATAACAGAATATACATACACTCGGTTGCGTCGACTCCCCACACAACTTAACAAAACGACGTCGTTTTGGGAGGCGCGGGACGCACATTGCTATGTGCGCCGTGGTGCACGGTATTAACGATTGCTTCTAACCGTTCTTTTTAATTAATTTTTAGAGTTAATTCCACAAGAGGTCCCTTGTCTTTAGTGGTTATTCTAAATTTAGTCCCAGACTATTGTTTTTGCCATTTAACATCCTAGACTATTATCTTTTGGACACTTTTAGTCATTTTCATGACTTTTCCTATTTTTAGTATGGACATTTTTGTCTCTTCATAATTTTCTTTTGATATTTTTTTGATTTCAACCGGTTTA